CAAAAGTACGGTAAAATATCGTACCTTTGTCCTCCTCCGGGTGCCGATTCGGAGCGGAGTCGGGAAATTTAATTATAGAACGGGGAGGAGGACAAAGGTACGGTATTTTACCGTACTTTTGTCCTCCTGGCTCCGTTCTATAATTTCTGGCACTGACATGATATTTACTGCATATTTGTACATATACAATCTATAAAATGAAGTAAAATGAAGATTTAATGAGGATTTAATGAGGATTTGATGAGGAAATGAAGATAAAATGCAGATAAAATGAAGATTTGATGAGGAAACGAGGATAAAATGAGGATAAAATGAGGATAAAATGAGGATAAAATGAGGATAAAATGAGGATTTAATGGGGATTTGATGAGGAAATGAGGATAAAATGAAGATTTAATGAGGATTTAATGAGGATTTGATAAGGAAATGAAGATAAAATGATGATAAAATGAGGATTTGATGAGATAACGAGGATAAAATGAGGATGCTGTAACATGAGGATAATGGGAAATGTGGGAAAAATGGGGGAAAACAGAATTATAGAACAACAGGGTACGGTAAATAACCGTACCTTCGTACTCCTCAACTTCCGTTCTATAATTCTGTTTTCCCCCATTTTTCCCACATTTACCAGGTGATTTTCTTAGATTTCATGGTGCTTTTATAAGATTTCATGGTGATTTTATGGGATTTCATGGTAATTTTATGGGATTTCACGGTGATTTTCTTAGATTTCATGGTGATTTTATAGGATTTCTGGGACCCCGGAAGAGGTTCTATAATTCTAAAATTAATTTTTCCGTTCTATAATTAATTGTTCCGTTCGACGGAAAAATTAATTATAGAACGGGGCCCGGGGAAAATTAATTATAGAACGAAAATGGGAAATGTGAGAAAAATGGGGGAAAACAGAATTATAGAACAACAGCGCTCCGACAAGAATTATAGAACGACGAAAAAAAATAGGAGGAAGATCAGATACATTTTTTTTTCATACCTTCCGAGGAAAACATAATTATAGAACAACAGGGTACGGTAAATAACCGTACCTTCGTCCTCCTCAACTTCCGTTCTATAATTCCGGCACTGACCATATATATATGTGATATATATATTATGTGTGCATATACATACAGATTCATATACGTATACACATATCTATATAAATACATATATATATGTTTATATATGATCATATATGCATGATCTACATACATGCATGCATGCATATAAGATATATATATATGTATACATTCACATCATGTTTTATACATATAGAATGTTTCTAATTTGTACATACATACATGGTCAATCTCTGCAGCTCTGTTTCGGAAATTCCTGGGTGAACCTTGACCCCAAGAACGATGATTGGAGAGTGGCTCATCCCCGTTGGTGAGATAGGCAGGGTCAATCCACTGAATTCACAATCCCCATTCAGCTCCTTGATGGATAAAACATGATAAAGTCCACTTAAAACCCTGGTATTCTGGGAATTTCTGACGTGCAGATACCCTACAAACACCTAGGTACTCCCACACCTTTTACTTTGGCATCTGGGCAGCAGGAAGATCAGTGGATCTATGTATTGGGCCCATCAAACAGCCTTTTTTAACGGAAATCGGATGATGAAGAATAAACATTGGACTTATTGTAGCCTATTTCTAGACAGAATCATACATATGTGGACTGATATATATATGCATATGTGTCGAGGTATGTATGTACTGTGTGTACACTTACATAAACTTAGCATCCGTCATTATTCAATCCCTTAGATTTTGGACCCTTGTAGTTTATGATGAATTGAGCTTACAAGGAGCCGCACAAATACAATCCTTGCTGGAAGGCAATCACTGCCAAGTGTAGAATTAATAATATGTATATATGCATATATAATATATATATATATATATATTATACAGTATATGTATGTCCGGGTGTTTGGGTTATCTGACAATATTTGAAGTATTTTTGAAGTCGTCATTTCCGCTGCCTGAAGGCAACTCAATTACACCTGCACCGCACCATTTGGGGGTTGTGGTGCGGGCCCGAATCATTGCATAGTATCTACCAACGGTTCCACGCCAGGAATTGCGCACTATCCATAATCCACTAGATGCACAAATTCAACTGCCACTTGCACACCTGGCTGGACAATATTTGTGCCATTTGGCAAGGATCTATCCTTGCAAACCGGAAGCATTCACAGCCAGTATCTGTGATAGTTTACGACACGTTCAAAATCCTGAGAGGACCCACAGTGGGAACATGCAGCTTTGGCACACGGTGATGTCTGAACCAGTACTTCTATCTGGTATTTTGCTATTTACTACTTGATAACTTGGAATATAAATTCGTGATTGGGGCTTTAAATGATTTTAAGATGTTTGAAGTCCCAATACAAAATGGTTGTTTCTAAGGTAACAAAACAAACAGGGACTAGGCAACTGGTGATGGCAAGACATTAAGTGATGATACCCGATACCCATAAGCAACTAGGCACCTGATGCTCATAACGGATCAGCAGAACCATCATCAAAGCGAAGAACTTGCGATTATTCCCTTCACCCTAATCATACTAATCATATGAAATGCCCCCCATCTAAACCCTGGATTCCTACTGGAATTGTTCATTTGGGGTCCATATTAGAGTGACATTTAAATGTATTGACTATGCTGATGGGATGGGATTCGATTATACAGTACCATATTCTGCCAGTTTTTAGAGGGTAGATCTCATTAACTTCCCATTAAATCCCATTGAATCCCATTAAAACACCATTAAATCCCATTGAATCCCGCTAAAACACCGTTAAGTCCCATTAAAACACCATTAAACCACCATTGAAACACATTAAAACAACCATTCCCTCAACGAATTTTCCGTCACTGAGGAGATCAGAAACCCTTCACCACGGGCTGCACGGCGGTGGTGGAAGTGAAGATCTTCGGAAGGCCGGTGAAAGCTGGCATCGCCATATACCGAATGGTAATGGAAAAATATGGAAACATGGATGAACACTGATATTTCATGGTGTCTTACGGGGATTTCAGTGTGGAGCTTAATGGAGCTTAATGGTGTCTTAATGGTGTCTTACTGGGAGTTAATAGCGATATCATGGATTACTGGATTAATGGGATATACAACCAACTTGATACAGTATGATATTTGGATGTGCCTGAAAAACGGGGGATTTACCCTCTCAAAATCGCTATTTAAATGCAACAATGATGACAATCACAGATGGATAGAACCTTTTTCCGGACAAATCCAAGCTGAATCTTGAGCATCGTATAGTACTGTATAGTGTGGTCATAAGATACGATAGGATAGCATATAAGAGCATAGTATACACACAATTACACACATGCACACACACACACATACACATCCAGCGCCATACATGCGTACATACACGCACACATACACCTAATAATCGATCCATGACTTGAATTATTTTTACGCTTATTTACACCAGAAATGACAGACATAAATCCAAATCCAATCCGTTTTTTTTTCATGGGTCCAGTGATGTAGTTGTCCATTTTCTGGGAACTGCACCACAGGTCCCTGGGCAAGGATGATGTGCTGCTGGACATTTGTGTGGCACAGCGGTTGTTGCCTGGCCTCATCAGAAAAGTGGGGACCTAACCAGCAGGTGATAGAACCAGAAGAAAATACCCTCCTGTAAACTAACATAGATGTTGAACACCCACCATGAATGTCGTATTTTCGTATGGTTTTTCCATGGGTTTTTCCACATCTATGTTGGTTACATGATCTTAGCCAGAGAACAGGTTTCAGTAACAAATATGTGATGGGAATGGAATGGGGTTGACCAAAACCTCGCTGTGACTGTGGATGACCTCACGTTGCGACATCGCTGGTGTAGCATGGTTCATTAATATGTTCTTTTATGGGAAACTATCCCTCAAATTAGCCGAACCTTTCAGGTTGGCAATGATTACTATTGATCCAGATTATGTTTTATAATTGATCAAAAGGTCAGCAGCTCAAACACGTCCCAGTCTTGAAAGTACTTGGGAGTTGTGAAGCTGGAACCACTTCCATATTTCTTGACAGGGCTGAAACGACCAGGCTGCGCGACATCATGGCACGCTACGATCATCAGAATTTGGATCTGCTGGTGGCGTGGTGTTTAAACTTAGCACCGGCTGGCAGTGTGTCAATGCGTCAGGCTCTCTATAGGTACTGGTTATTGCCTTATTGCTGGTTGGTTTCTCCTACTTGGGAAGTAGAACTTATTGCTGTTCAAATATATACCTCATGAGAATTCGACCAAGTAGGGTTGGTTCACCATGGTTCACCTATCACATCTTATCACTGAATGAACAAAAACTACTTAGTAAAGGAAGCCACGAACTAGGTCCCTGGGCTTCAGTTGGGCCTTGAGTTATTTTTAAGGAGGTGCCATGGCAGAGCTTTCGGTTCCATGGCAATTCGAGGATCATCGTTCAGAACTGAATCAAAGGGTTGTCCGTTCAGAACCATCCATTTTCATCTTCGCGGAAATGTCGAAAAAGATTTGATGGACTCCAGGTATTATTTGCACAATTTAAATTTCAGGGGACCACAGATTCTGGATGCTTTTGGTCATTTGTTGGTATCAATTTCATCCAATTTTCAGGGTAGCCAATTTGACCCATCCCGACATATTTCTGATCTGCGTTTTCCGCTGCAATGGGGCCTCATCTCTAGGTCCTCGACGACTCTCAAGACGTTTCCTCTGAACGGGGACCCCCGAAAGAATGCATTTTATATACAAAAAACACAAGCATTTCAACCGTATCTTGAGTCTTGGTCCGAGTCAATTTGCATGTGTGTCTCAAATATAAGTCCTTTTTCATATCTTACATATCTTACATTGTTTTTGTGAAAGGAATGTGGGGTAAATACAACATAATACAACATCCATCATCCATCAGGCAAATATCTGGGATGACGGCTATGAAATCCCATCCCATTTTTGTTGATTTGAGCGATTAATTATCTATAAACTATCTACGTAGACACCATATTACCAACATGTCGTGGTTTGAAAATTGGGTACCGTCGAACCTACTGGTTAATTCACATTCGCACTATCACAGTAGCCGTAGCTAGGTCGTATACCTACCGCAATTTCAGACACATCACTATACACAACACACGCGCCAAAGCATGGGGCCAAAGCATGGGAGTTTCAAAAAATGGGTGATGACCACAATTGGGAGTTGCGATACTCAAAAAGGTAAATTTTTGGACGATTTGGAGGTACCGCCATTTGAGGAACTTTTAGGAAGCACCATGAAGCACCAATACTTGCAGGATCATCCGACTTAGTAAGTGCTTAGTCACTATGATCTGCTTAATAAGTCCCTATATCCTGGGTTGTCCCATTTGGAGCTGGGGAAACTAACCCCAGTTACTATCCACTTGCTCATCATTGGTTCCAAGAAATCCAGATTTTTCCTGGTTCCCGCCGGTCAACTAACATAGCTATTGAAAATGGTGATTTTCCATGATTTTCCCATAGTTATGTCTGTTATGTCAGTTTACCGGAGGATATCCCATATTATCTCCCCATGAGTTCTCTGCGCAGGATGAGTTTCAGCTTCCGCGACGCAACACCACCGTGGAGGTCATGGCGAAGGCGCTCAGGGATGTTTTGGGGGTCCTATTTTAGGAAAACACCGCATATCATATAGAATCATATGCAGACTATGCTGATTTATTGACTATATATGTGGTATTATGTGGTATTATGTGGTTAAATATGATGTCCATAAATGATTTTGGATACATAATTGGCGGGATACCCAACTCTGGTTCATATCCACGGTTTATTCAATGCGTCATACTTTCATCATTCTCGGAATTCTCAACCAGCCACTGACACCATGGGCTTCATGGTGTTTTTTCAAATGATGTCGGCAGTGCAAAATTCTGGAGGTTAAGGAGTCCGAAAGTAGAGATACAAGGGTCCTCATTCGCTGTGTTGAATAGTTGGTGTAATGACATAATGGCGAGATGAACAGTCTATCAGCATATTGTGTGAAACTACCACCAGTTGCAACAACTGCGATGGACCGATGTGAAGGTATTGGAGATCCTATTGGGTCCCTATCGGCACTTCATCCAAGAACGGAACCTGGCACATTGTTTCAAAATGGCAGGTGATCATGGTTAAGGAATCTTCAGAGAAGAACGGTTGCTGAACATTGCTAGTACTATTGTCGGCCAAACCTATATCTTTATAGAATGGGCTAGCGCCCGGGTGCCGCCGACCCCCATTCCTGTCGGGGTTGGACAAGAGGAAGGAAGGTGTAATCATACCTTGACCCTCCCTTGACAAGAGTTTCTAGGCGTTCAGTGAGTTCAAGCGTTTTGCAAGTGACTGCCTGGGAGCTGCCGGGCCAGAGCCCTGGTCGAAGCTGCCGCGAAGCATTTTAGGCATTTGAAGCCTGGCAAACGGCAGGCTTGAACGCCCTAGCTACAGATGGCTATGGAGGCAAACGGCAGGCTTGAACGCTCTAACCACAAATGTCTGTGGCCAGAGTGCCTGGTCGAAGCTGCCGCGAAGCATTTTAGGCATTTGAAGCTTGAACGCCCTAAAAACAGATGGCTATGGAGGCAAACGGCAGGCTTGAACGCTCTAACAACAAATGCCTGTGGCCAGAGTGCCTGGTCGAAGCTGCCACGAAGCATTTTAGGCATTTGAAGGCTGGCAAATGGCAGGCTTGAACGCCCTAGCTACAGATGGCTATGGAGGCAAACGGCAGGCTTGAACGCTCTAACCACAAATGTCTGTGGCCAGAGTGCCTGGTCGAAGCTGCCGCGAAGCATTTTAGGCATTTGAAGCTTGAACGCCCTAACAACAGATGGCTATGGAGGCAAACGGCAGGCTTGAACGCTCTAACAACAAATGCCTGTGGCCAGAGTGCCTGGTCGAAGCTGCCGCGAAGCATTTTAGGCATTTGAAGGCTGGCAAATGGCAGGCTTGAACGCCCTAGCAACAGATGGCTATGGAGGCAAACGGCAGGCTTGAACGCTCTAACCACAAATGTCTGTGGCCAGAGTGCCTGGTCGAAGCTGCCGCGAAGCATTTTAGGCATTTGAAGCCTGGCAAACGGCAGGCTTGAACGCCCTAACAACAGATGGCTATGGAGGCAAACGGCAGGCTTGAACGCTCTAACAACAAATGCCTGTGGCCAGAGTGCCTGGTCGAAGCTGCCGCGAAGCATTTTAGGCATTTGAAGGCTGGCAAATGGCAGGCTTGAACGCCCTGGCAACAGATGGCTATGGAGGCAAACGGCAGGCTTGAACGCTCTAACCACAAATGTCTGTGGCCAGAGTGCCTGGTCGAAGCTGCCGCGAAGCATTTTAGGCATTTGAAGCCTGGCAAACGGCAGGCTTGAACACCCTAACAACAGATGGCTATGGAGGCAAACGGCAGGCTTGAACGCTCTAACCACAAATGCCTCTGGCCAGAGTGCCTGGTCGAAGCTGCCGCGAAGCATTTTAGGCATTTGAAGCCTGGCAAACGGCAGGCTTGAACGCACTAACAACAGATGGCTATGGAGGCAAACGGCAGGCTTGAACGCTCTAACAACAAAGGCCTCTGGCCAGAGTGCCTGGTCGAAGCCGCCCCGAAGCATCCCAGGCATCCGAAGGCCGGCAAAGGACAGGCTTGAATGGCTATGGAGGCAAACGGCAGGCTTGAACGCTCTAACAACATATGCCTGTGGCCAGAGTGCCTGGTCGAAGCTGCCGCGAAGCATCTTAGGCATTTGAAGGCTGGCAAACGGCAGCTTTGACGCCCTAACAACAGATGGCTATGGAGGCAAACGGCAGGCTTGAACGATCTAACCACAAATGCCTGTGGCCAGAGTGCCTGGTCGAAGCTGCCGCGAAGCATTTTAGGCATTTGAAGCCTGGCAAACGGCAGGCTCTGGCCAGAGTGCCGAAGCTGCCGCGAAGCATTTTAGGCATTTGAAGCCTGGCAAACGGCAGGCTTGAACGCCCTGGCAACAGATGGCTATGGAGGCAAACGGCAGGCTTGAACGCTCTAACAAGAAATGCCTGTGGCCAGAGTGCCTGGTCGAAGCTGCCGCGAAGCATTTTAGGCATTTGAAGCCTGGCAAACGGCAGGCTTGAACGCCCTAACAACAGATGGCTATGGAGGCAAACGGCAGGCTTGAACGCTCTAACCAAATGCCTGTGGCCAGAGTGCCTGGTCGAAGCTGCCGCGAAGCATTTTAGGCATTTGAAGCCTGGCAAACGGCAGGCTTGAACGCCCTAACAACAGATGGCTATGGAGGCAAACGGCAGGCTTGAACGCTCTAACAACAAATGCCTCTGGCCAGAGAGCCGTCGAAGCTGCCGCGAAGCATTTTAGGCATTTGAAGGCTGGCAAACGGCAGGCTTGAACGGCTATGGAGGCAAACGGCAGGCTTGAACGCTCTAACAACAAATGCCTGTGGCCAGAGTGCCTGGTCGAAGCTGCCGCGAAGCATTTTGGGCATTTGAAGTCTGGCAAACGGCAGGCTTGAATGCCGTAACAGCAGTTGGCTATGGAGTGCCGGGTCGAAGCTGCCACGGATCGTTGTAGGGGTTTGAAGGCAAGCCGACAAAAACAAGTTCCACACCTGCGGTGGTCCCAGGCGCCGCCCCTGCCTTGGCGAAGGCAGGGGTCGGCGGATATATACAATCTCCTTCGATATCTCATACGCATTAGGATGTGTGGTGTGCATATATATATACTGTATACATATATCAATGCAGAGAGAGAGAGACACACACACACACACACGCACACGCCCACGCACTCAACTTACATACGTATCTGTGTGAGTATTCGACAAATATGTGTATATAATTATATATATATAAATACATATATATATATTTATATAATATGTAATTACTACACAAAGCATATATATATAGAGTACTAAATATATGCCATTATACATACATATTGTAGTACTACAACGGAGGCGATTCATGGGCACTTCGTGGATGGCCTGCAGCAGCATCACCAGGCGTGAGTTTCATGTGGTGGTGCGTGCAACGAGGGTGGAGGATGGTCACAGGAAAATGGCGTTTTCATGGAATCTAATGATGTTTTAACGGGATTTACTGCTGTTTCAATGGAATTTAATGGTGTTTTACTGGGTGATATAACCAGCAATGTGAGGGAAGCAAGGTGGATATGTGACTCGATTAAGCCATCGCTTCCAGGGCGGTCATCAATCCATAGGGATCTACCCGTGATGTTTGGATCTTGTGGCCATGGCCCATATATGTTTTTCTTTTTTAAAACAGTACGGTATGTTCTATGTATCATTTCGTTATAGATGAGAAAGATGATACGCACTAGTCAGTTTGCAATTTCGATATCATAAGATTTTTTGCGGGCGGAGCAGAGAGATGGTTTTACAATGTTTTAGATCAAATTAAGTAAGGACATCGTACCAACAGACGCATTTTTTGCCGGGGAGGAGTTTTGACCCATACCATTTGGGGAGCTGCGATGATGACCTTCATGTGGCATTTGATACCGACCATGAATCCAGTCCTAAATCACCCAATTTTTTGAGGCTCCTAAAAACTATACTTTTCCCTGGGTCAAGTTTCCTATGAGCTCCCATAGTTTTGGAATTATAAGCATCAACAATGGTGGTTTATTAATGGAGGGTTCGTTTGGGGTTCAATGATGGTTTTACCACTTTTTTGGGATGGTGGTTCAACGGAACACCCATAACCAGGATATTTGGTGTTCACGGGCCCAGGAATCTCGCCGAGCTGGGCGAGAAGGTTTGGAACACTTGTCACGAATCGAAGTGCTGATCAAGGACCAGAGGGAAGTGCTACAGTGGTACCCATGACCAATGTGGCAATCCCAGTAAACCTCTAAATTTGTTTTATGTTGTTCAGTTCCTACGAACTTGGGGATGGATTTTCTTGTGCTTACCACCTTTGCAAGAATTCAAAACCATAGACTTCCCTCTCTCGCTCTCTAATCGTCTAGTCTATGCACAGGTAACACTGGGCACCCAAATTCTTGAACCGGTTTCAATCCATATTATGCAATGACATTGGTTCAGCACATGATCAAACTATGGTGCAAGGTGTTGATAGTAGATAGGTATTGGTTCGAAATTATAAGACTGACACCCTACCAGCACCATCAGCACCATCAGCACCATCAGCACCATCAGCACCATCAGCACCATCAGCACCATCAGCACCATCAGCACCATCAGCACCATCAGCACCATCATCATCATGATCATCATGATGATCATCATCATGATCATCATCATGATCATCATCATGATCATCATCATAATCATCATCATGATCATCATCATGATCATCATGATCATCATCATGATCATCATCATGATCATCATCATGATCATCGCCATCGCCATCATCATCGTCATCGTCCTCCTCCTCCTCCTCCTCCTTATCATCATGATCATGATCATGATCATGATCATGATGATCATCATCATCATGATGATAATCATGATCATAATCATCATCATCAGCATCAACATCAGCATTATCATCATCACCATCACCATCACCATCACCATCATTATCATCATCATCATGATGATGATGATCATCATCATCATCATCCTCATCCTCGTCGCAGTTGTGCGGCTCTTAGCCACGGGATGGTTGTCACCGGTCGCCAATCCGCATAGCAGGGATGTTGCATCACATCGACCACCCTTCGCTCAGCGTCAACGCTGCGGACCCGACCCACACAAATCCGGCGCCTTACTTTTTCTACAACTTTTATGTGACATGGAGCTCTCGCTACAGTCCTGTGCACTTTCGAGACGCGAAACCGCCAAAACAAGAACCCTACTTCGGCGCACCGATTTAGTTTGTTTTTGCGACCCCACAAAAGATAGAAACGCAGTCTATCGCTATTTTAGTAGGATTATTTCTATCTATAGGTGGTTATTTGGGTCTGGATCAAAAACGGTGGCCCAATGGACCCAGCATGACCCAGCAATTTGGTATCCCATGCCATTGGCAAGAATTCATATCACCCATTTTTTTTTTTTACTACTTCATAGTTTTGGGTCAGCTACACCAACAAAACCCCAAACATGATGAAATTATACCAGATCTTGTTTCGTATTTTGAGTTTCAGGTGACCAGAATTTGACATGCATTTCAGACCAAATCGCAGTTCTATGTGAACTATCCTGGAGATTTTGGGGCATATATATATATATGTATATAGATGCGTATGTACGTATGTGTAAAAATATATAAATAAATGAATAAATAAATAAATAAACAATCTCTCTATATATATATATACATACGCAGATGCGTATTTACCTATGTGTATATATATATATATACAATTATATGCACGTATGTATATACATAAATAAATATATCATCCAGAGTTCTCCGGGAGAATATCAGACCCAAGCAGAACTGGCAGCGTCAGGAAAGTGACGTGGCCTTCGCAGGCTTTGCGGAGCAGTTGACCATCGAATGAAAAGGGCGATGCCGGCCCGGTCACAAGCAAGGGGGAAGTAAAGCACTGAAATATCCTGTGCCAGGGGGATGATACATATATATATATTACATATCTACACCTGTTTGTTTATGTAGACGGTGGCAATATGTGTGTGTATATATATAAATAGTTGTAGTTGTATCTCCCAATTCAAGGCGTTTACTATCAATTGGGATGGTATATCGAATTATTATTGGGATACTCTTGGGTTCTTTTTCTTGTTCTTGCTTTGTTTTGTTTTTAATATATTGTTGCTAGGACATGACATTTCCGGGCATCTGGAGGATGTTTTTTGGTCTCCGGGGATTGAACCCGCGACCAAGCGAGCAGAGGCCCAACCCGCTAACTGCTCGCTGCGCCCCCTTTCTTCCAATACCGCGCTCCATGGACAGCACCAACTATGGATTGTGATCTCCACATATGATGTAGTGCAAGCCGTCACACATGGCGATCAGGCGCGTTCCGAGTATAAATCGCTGGACGGATCAAAAGATGAACAGCTAGAAAGATAGGTAGATGGATGGATGGATGGACAGATAAGATTACTAGATGGATAGATACATGAAAAGAAAGATAGAAAGGTAAAGATGGATAGATAGAAAGAAGGAAAGGAAGAAAGACAGAAAGCACGAAACATAGATACCTAAATAGACCTTAATAGACATAGAAGTACACATATAGAAGTGTAAATGATTCCTTTGATAGTTGAACGAGTTATGACATCTCTTGATTCGCACTTGGCATTTTGTGCTCCGTTGCCAAGCTTTCTGCGGCCGATGTTGCGATGTGCGGCGTCGGTACCAGAGATCCATGCACTCGGATCATTTCCGTTGCTCAGCTTTGGGTATATATATATATTGGTGAACGGATGTCAATGGCTAATGGTGAGTGTATGGTTTCCAAAGCATCTACATGACATGAACCAACAAAAATGCCTTTATCAACACGTCGTGGAAAACCATTTTTTTGATGAATGGTAGGTGCATTGGTTTCTTCCTTTATAACTATATATATATATATGTGTGTGTGTCATGTCTTTCCTACTACAAGAATATGGCCAGTGGCTAATCAGTCATGAGTTCGTACATGACAAGATCTTTGTGACGGCTGTTAGAGGGAATCTCCCATATGGGGTTTTCCTAAAATGGGGGTACCCCCAAACCATCCATTTTAATAGGGCTTTCCATTATAAAACATCCAGCTATTGGGGTAACCCCCAATTTAGGAAACACCAACATGTGTTTTGAAAAAAAACTCCAGATTTTGGTCGTTCTGTCTGCAGCCCATCAGCCGCCTTGGACACAAGTGACTGACCATATTTCCAGGGTGTGATGCCATGACTTGGGTAATTCTGTAGGAAATTAGGGGCCTACAAGATCCATGGTTTACGCCAGGAAACATATGGTGAATAGATCAACAACATTCATTTTATTCCGAAACAACGGGGTCAAATGGGGTCATGCCCAAATGTGCCATGTCGTGTTGTGTTTCTACGAAAAACAATCCTAAGCTCATGGTCGCTGCTTCACCAGCCAAGAATCCAAAGTTTCACTTCTTTACAAAGTGAACCTCAAGCCAAGCGCTGTTTTGTTGAATGTTTTTGAAGAAGGGAGATAAGGCTACCTTGAGCGCACTAAACCCTTGGTTTCGGTACTAGGCAGATAGATGGATGGATGGATGGATGGATCGATAGGTAGATAGGTAGATAGGTAGATAGGTAGATAGATAGATAGATTGATAGATTGATTCATTGATTGATTGATTCATTGATTAGATAGATATAGAGCGAATGAGAGAGAGAGAGAGAGATCATGTGGGGTGGTGACCCTCTCTCTCTATATTACTCTATATATATTTATACACAATTTCTCTTGTTAGTTGGGTAGCAAGTTTCCCTTACCTGCGAATTTTGGCAATGGATTCTCTGTGATTGGGTACACCAAATGGTTTCGAACATATTGATGCAAACAAAATGCGAAACCTCCCCACATCCACTGATTGATCATTATGTTCTTTCATTTTCTCTCTCATTCAACAACTAGTTTGGGGGTGTATAACCTGTATGCACCATTTTTAGACAATTCCATGCGAAGCAAACGCGGGAAATGAAACGACTAATTACAATCATCCAAGCAGCTAAGGTTTTGACTTGCATTGGTTTCTTCCTCTTCGTTCTCCACGTCGTGTGTTGCGAATTCTGGGCCGCGGCCATCTTTCAACAGGAGCTGGTCCATAGCAACTGTGAATTTCATCACGCCGGGTATGTCTTAAAATGGCCCTCTAACCAGGCTTTCTCTGTTCTTTTCCCGCAATTGTCCATTTCTTGTTTTCACTTTGTTGGTTCATGTGGAACGCATGTTATAGTTATGATTGTCATTCTATTTAGTCTGGGGTTAAACTTACATGCATGTGCTTGAGTTTGGGTACATGCATAGTTGCCGATAATGTATATGTGGGTCGTTCAAAAACCCGCCTTGCCCGTTTTAGGTCGAATGACATATAGCAGAACTAATCTTAGAATAGAGATGTGAAAACACGAGGTCCGCGCAAGCGGGCGCAAGGGCGAACGCAAGATCTATACTACTACAAATCATGCTGTTGCTGTTGCTGCTGCGGCTACGGCTGCTGCTATTGCTACTGCTACTGCTACTGCTGCAGTACTAGCACTACAGTACTACAGTACTACAGTACTACAGTACTACTGTACTACAGCACTACAGTAGTACAGTACTACTACTATTATTATTCCTGCTATCACTATTATTGTTCCGACTACGACTACGACTACCACCACCACCACCGCCGCCACTGCTGCTGCTACTGCTGCTGCTGCTACTACTAGTACTAGTACTTAGTACTTAGTACTTAGTACTTAGTACTTAGTACTTAGTACTTAGTACTTAGTACTTAGTACTTAGTACTTAGTACTTAGTACTAGTACTAGTACTAGTACTAGTACTACTACTGCTGCTACTACTACTACTACCACTACTACTGCTGCTGCTGCTACTGCTACTGCTACTGCTACTGCTACGGCTACTGCTACTGCTACTGCTACTGCTACTACTACTACTACTACTACTACTACTACTACTACTACTACTATACTACATATATATATATCGTTTTTTGGTAAACAATGCATATGTTCGATATTTGATTTCATATTTTCCACATTTTTTCATCACCAAATGCAAACCAATTTGGGGTGCGCTGACCATATGTATGTTTTCAAAATCTACGTGCATGTGCTTTACATATTGTATAGAATAATTAGAAACATATATATATAAATACCATACACACAAACACTGTAGTATGTTAAACTTATGTTTTTATATATATATATACATATATATATAGGTGCATAAATACATAAATGTTTGTTAGGTACTCACAGAAAAACTCACCGTTGTCCGATTCCCACGAACTGCTCGGGCGCTAGGAGGTGTTGGCTTGGGAGGATGTCACGTGGCAACGCAGCCGCTGCACGGTACTCAGCGCCGGGGTCAGTTGCATCGAAGCACACCACGGGCGCCGCGGCGGAAGCGGCCGGTGATGTGGGTGGCGGTTTGAATGAAAAACGTCATTGGGCTGAAAATGAAAAGTACACCAAAAGTTAAGGGGTTTTACCAACAAGAACGGAGTTTAACAACAAGTATCTATACATTGAATTGTATTGATGGATGTGTTTTCTTTATTGCAATCTCGTTGGCTGACCAAACCGGCTTTTGTGATGTGTGGGATCAAGGGAACCTTCCCTCATTTCAGCTGGGTGAATGTGCAGAAATCCAATACTCAATGAATCCGATGGAACAGGAATTCATGTCAATTGGAAGAAACACACAATTTCAATAGTAACACTGGATGAACACTTGTAAGAATGGAATGTTAATGGGAAATTATATACATATACAACTTGTTTCCAAGTGCGAAAATGACTATCACCCACATTTATTGGTGCTAGGGTTGCCGGGCAAAGCCATGATCCGTCCCGGGATGCTACATTTCAAAAGGAAACAACTTGAACCCGGAGAGCCTCCCCCACTTGAAAATAGGAGTCATGATGCAATGACCAACAAGTGAATCCATTTGGATTTTTGTGAGGCTATCCAACACATATTTGTCCTTGCAGTATTCACCCCATAAATTTTCCCGTGATTTCCCCAAAATACCAAAATTACGGTTGGTTTACAGGAATCTCCATATGGAGGTACCCCCAAATCCCATTGTTGGTCATCATGTCCTGCTCATTATGTAGACGTGTTATTTCTGACATACCCAAATGTCTCATTCTTGGTTAAATTTATATCGCCATACTATCCCATTGCAATCCCTATAACTATCCTATAACATCCTATAACTTATAACCCTATTCTTGTTGCTTAAATCCTATGATTCCCAATATATTTCCGCTGAAATCCATCATGGATTGGCATGGCACCGATCGTTCAACCAGGAAACTCTGCAGCAACGGGACGATCGCCGGCAACGAGACGAGTGATGCCATGAACTCCTCGGTGCCATGGTCGTTTTGAGGCCCCCCATTAACTATAATCTCCATCGATCATATGTGTAAACCCAGTGGATGATCCCAAAGTGATATATATATATTATGTATAATATATGATAATCGATCAACCAAGTAGAGTGATGTGAACGTAGGTTTTACACCCCCCATGAATACCATGGTTAAATCCCCACAAAACCCTACTGAAACAAGTATGTGCGTCGACTTCGCTATCGTAAACGAAGGCATCACCTTGTAACTGGTTAACACTGGTGAACGTAAGTCCCACTAAGTGGGTTATCCATGGTTATCCTATATCGATGGGTTAAACATGGTTAGAACTATTTTTTTAATAACTACCTAATTACGGTTCTTGGGATGATCCTCCAAGCGGGGAATTCCATCCCGCAACAATGGTATGGGCATATGGGAAAATACATCAAGTCCAGGACGACACACCAGGACGCCATTCGATGATCTGTAGCAAACAGGGTTGCTAATGTTGAAGTAACTAGTTTGTTTGCAACTCAGACTCGGATAGATCATGGCTGCCATGAATGTAAGTTATTGTAACTTGGTATAGCCAGGCAAGGGGTGATGAATTGATATAAACTGTGTTGGAAGTGGCGTCATAGGATACCAAAGACATATTATATACATGTATATACAAAAAACACATATATCAATTTTATATACAAATAACTCATATGTGTATATACAGTATGTATATATATATATGTATATATAACTATATATGTGTATATATGTATATATATATATGGTCACACACACCACCAGAACCCCCCACCATCAATCTCTATCAAATCTATCTGCCTCATGGAAAACTGTTCAGTTCAATGCTTTGCGGGGGTCAAAGATGGGCAGAGAAACTGCGTGAACGACCCGAAATGGAGACAAACGATTGAAATGTGGGGGTGTGCCTCCGTTTGGATATGTGCCAATTTTGTGTACAGTACCCCAAAAAGATGATATGGATAGTGTACAGTGAGGTTTCAATGCTCGAAATCTCTGGCTGCGATCTGAATCAGGTCGTCTTTCCCTTGCAGAGGGGGGCCATTTGTCCTGGGACCTACTTTTGTGCAGAGGAACATCAGCCCTGCATTTGCAATGGCGAGATCACCTATGGACCAGTTCTCTTTGATGGGTATCGTCACCTGGATAAGCCTGGACCTGCAGCTTTCCCAACCATCTTCTGCTGGTTAGGGCAATTCCAGTGAATCCCTTTCGGTTCATCCTAAACACCACCCAGAAACCATGTTTGAGCGGATGATTTTCAACATATTTGGGACGATCTAGGACATGTTCAATATTAGCGGGTATGCCGGGTATGCCGGGTATGCCATTACAAGAATCCATCTTGGGATGAAATCCATCTTGGGTAGCTTTTCTTTGGAAGCGCCTGTGCGTCACAGTCTGTTGATTTCACGGGGATAAACCACCTGATGGCAAGTGATTTAATGATATTGAATGGAGATCAATATCATGATGAAGTGGAACCCCTGTAATTGAACCAATCCACTATACGATCTATACGAGAAGAATTTCATCTTTTTGAGGTTCTACCTGGTATACCTGAGTCTTGGTGGTTGATCTCCAGAATTTCAACAGGCCCATTGGAAACTTCTGAGCTTTCACCCACAAAGTGATCAAACATGGGAACATCAGAGAAGTATATAAGCCAATATAAGCATGCTGATGTATGTTCCGGACATGCGAATCATATCGAACCACACAAGTGAAGTGCCCACAAATTTAGAAAAAACGCAGGGAACTGGTTGTGAAGATGAATCCGAATGGATGCTTTTCAGGTGATTGCAACAGCAAAACCAAAGGTATCCAATTTCGCTCACCATTGCAGTTGGGCCCAAGTTGGCCCAACACTGCGGAGATCCGAACTCCAGCCCTTAGTTTTGCTGAAGAACCTCCACTTTGGTTGCTAGTTACATCTAGTTTCCATTTTTTTTTGCTAATGTTGGTATGTAGATATCCTATGATATCCTCGTATTTGGTTGGGCCGAGATCCAAGCACACGCAAAAAACACCTAGTCATATCAAGTCGCATTCTGATTTCTCTTAAGGCCCTAAACCCTGCATATCTGGGAACTTTCCTACTTTTTTGGGTAACCTCCTGAAATGGTGGATTTCCGGTTTCCTAACGGGATCATAGTCCAGGTGAATTTCTGCCACATGGTAAGTTAGATTTTTTATGATTTTATTGATTTGGAAACTGAGAAATCGACCAGATCTTTCCATAAGAGCAGCCCTAGTGGAACATCCCAAGGCTACCACGGTCCCGTGAACAACTCGGTCTACTCCAATGGTTCCGCCGGACATTTGTGCGGCGTGGACCAGCATGGCCAGCAGCTGCCGGACCCCGCGCCCAAGCAACCGCACCTCGGCAATGGCACAGTTTTCATTGGGAAGTCATGATTTAATGGGTACCGGGTACCTTTTTAGGCAACGGCAAAGCCATATTTGCGGTCAGTTGCGTAACTTCAAGATTGGAATTTTGCAGCAGCTTTGTTTTTGGATTCAGGAAGAAAGCTCCAATTTGAAGCAACTCTCATACAGACAGCGCGTTTGCACATTATGAAAAACACCACAAAGTTTGACATTCACAAGGTGTATGCTCCTTCCAAAATTGTCCAGAGAATCAAAGGGTGCAGATGCATTGCTCAATGATTGGAGGTCACCATTATTTTGGTGGGTGCATCATAGGTACACAGCAACCAGTGGATCTGTTGGTGGTCTCGGCCTAGACCATGTGTATGATACATATGAATACATATGAGACGTCTAGTCTAGTGGTTTGATGTGGGATAGTAACGATGAAGCTCAGTGAGGCTCAGTGCTTGCGTGTTGCAGGTTTTTGTTTGGGATCAATCTATGTCCTGCATGGCCCGGATGTTGTCCCCATGGACCTGGCAGGGTGTCAAAAACGACATCCAAAATATCAAGGGCCCAGTAGTACTAATAGATTGTTTGATCCATTCAAGGAATGCTGCCTTATCACTTTTGCGTGTTTGTTCCAACTTTTTTTTTGAGATGTGTCCATTCCAGAGATTTCAAGGTATTTCGATATATTCCAAAACATCAAGGGCCCAAGCACCAAGTAATTTCAATCAACCAGCTATCACTGCCGTTCTTTTCAGACTCATTGTTGGTATGATCCCGTTTCCAGATATTTCACTGTATCCCCCACTGTGGCAATCCAACATAGCTATGGAAAATCACTTATTTTTTAATACGTAAATAGTCTACAAACTGGCAATTTTCCAGAGCTATCCTGGATTACGGAGGGTTTTAAACACCCAGATAACATGGGCAGACCATCCCTATTTCTTAGACAGAACCACATATCGTGTATATATATAATTATATATGTATATATATATATATACACATATAGGATAACAAGTTGGTTGTAGAAGTTACATACCCCCACTTCCCAAATCACAGAAAGTATCACAGTTCAGGAAATTCTGCTGGTGCACTCCTCGCTTTCTCCAGCGCTTCGCGTCCCCTATAGCGCCCGGCTGCGTGGACGCGGCGGACGTCGCGAGCTTCGCGAAGAGCGCCACGGTGGAGTCGCTCACGGGGAAACGCTTCACACCCTGGGCCTTGGTTCGGGAGGAGAGGTGGGGCCCAATGGGGTGGATAGGAAATGGTGGATGGTGATATAAACCGGAGAAATGGTGAGCAAATGGTGATTGAATTGTGATTAATTGGTGATTCATGGATGGGGATAAATACTGATAAATAGGGATTTAATCAGTAAACAGTGGACATAAATAGGATATTGATTTCGGGCTAGCACCCATCCCATAGGTTGTAGTGGAATACCATGAGAGAATTTCATCGGGATAGTGGGGTAAACTGATGGGATACAACTGGATTCTCTGGGTAAGACAAACTGGATGGGTACGACAGAGTACGACTTTATTGTATAGTCGTTTGCGACATGAATCAGTATGTATTAAGCGGCCGACAAAAAAACACGCAGGATATCCAAGATCGGCCACGGAAAGATTATGGTTATGGCTGAGATCACCTTACCCTCCAAGTAATTTAACATATAGCTATTGAACATGGCCCATTTAGTTCGTTGATTTACCTATCAAAATGATGACTTTTGATAGCTATATTAGTTTACCAAAGGGTAGATCCGCGGATGGTTTTGTATGACTTGCGGGTTGGCCCCCCATTACTGGTTGGTTTGAAACATGTTTTCCGAATAATGTTCAACCTTATTTTGGAACAATGGCTTTGATGACTCCCAATGGTTGGTGGTTGGATTTTCCGGGATTCCCCATGAATCACCAACCCACACCATGAATCATTGGTTGATTCAAAGATGTGGATATGTATAACATGGATACCTCTTTATAGATAATTATACCATAGTTTTTGGTGTTCACCAGGGCAACAGGGTTTTGACCCATACCCAGATGTCATACATCCATTGTGATTTTATACCCAAAAAAGCATGTAATTAGTTCCATTTAGTGGCTTATAGTCTCATTCTTATCCCACATATAAAACGTTGATCAATGTTGATCAAAACTACCAACTAGATCTCACTTTTGGTTTCACCACCAGATTCGAGCCAGGAGCACAGTTCCAGCATTGCTTGTGCCTATGAGTTTGGCATCCCCAGACCATCCACAGATTTCTTTGAGACCTCTGGTGGCCAGATGGAGCAAAAGGCTTCATGGGATGAGTTTTGTGAGTTTTGTGCCATGATCATAGCAGAGCCATGCGGGAAATCTGGCACCTGAATCAGCTATGGTGAAGCATCGTGGGAACTAGCTTGGTGAGGTTGAAGTGCCTGTCAGTTCCTGTCAGCTTGCAAATGTGACCGGCTTCGACCAACAAGTCGTACTTTATCACACTGACCGTACACTTATATCATGCTAAGTTAAATCTTGTGATGATGGAATTAATTCAAATTCCTTGAGATTTTCAAGATTGGATGTGCAATGTTTGTCCCTTCCGGCCTAAAAGGCTAGAGTCGGCTAGAGACCGGTTGCAGCGCAGAGCTGGGCAGATCCTAATGGGATTCCCATACTTGCAGTAATTATATATATATGATGTATACATAGTAGTTATTTCCATTAAAAAAACATCCCTGCATCTACAATTCCAAACATAAACATACACATTATCAATATACAACAAATATGAACACATAAGTCTATCATACATCTATCCATACATATACAAGATATATATATCTCTCTGTTTGTATATGTGTATATGTATATATATATACACGTAGATTTGGAAACCACTGAGTTTCCAGCCCTTTTTGTTCATCTCCACAACGAGGCGCAGCAGGCGCAGCTGTTGGTGCAGCACTGGGCAAAGGATCCGAAAAGGCCTTGTTGGATCCGAAGACCCAGCGAAGGCCCGAGAACATGGGCTGAGTCAAAAGACGTATGTTGGGTTTTCTATGATACATTGCTGATACATAACATGTATAATTAACATATAACATATAACATATATACAATAAGACATAAAGACACATATACATAACATATATATATAGGTATACACATAACACACACACACACATATATATACATGTATAACATATATATATAGAGCAACTATATATATATATAACGCATGTGTAGGACTATATATATATATCAAACATATAACATACAACATATACAACAATAAGTAACATATAACACACACATATATATATACATTTATATACACATAACACGAAAACCACATATAATACAGTATTCCATAGAATTGGGGTTTCTTATGGGAATAGTGTGGGAGTAGTATGGGAATGGGGATCCCATCAGCCAGGGGGTCCCTCTAAATTCCACAAGGCCAAGAGTTTGGTAGGTGGACTGATCGTTTATACCTTGACATATTTGGAGGATGTTTCTTACACTTCCATGGTATACTCTCCAAGAATCTGACAAACAACATCCCTGAAGAAAATCCGACTTCAGATTCAGCTGCTCATATTGTATCGGCTACATCCGCACAAGATTTAAATGGTTGCATGACCAGACTCCTATCATATCCGATTGACAAAATCCAAGAACATATGAAGTCAGTTCCTGTGCTCCAGAATATTAACCATAAATCTATATGTATTTGTACTTATGATATGTATATATATAATATATATATATATGTATAACTTATGATATATATATAACTTATATCTCATATTATATCTACATTACATTATACATTATATAATATATACCTTACATATATCTATATCTATATCTATCTATATAATTATATATATATATTATTTGTGCACATGTATATATATATATATTGTGTATATGTATATGTATATGTACATGTATATGTGTGTGTATATGTACTGTATATGTATATGAATATGTGTATGTGTATGTGTATATATATATATATATGAATATATGATATAGTATTTGTTTACCATACACGTACATATTATATGTATGATATGTGTATAGTATATGCTTAGGTATTATATTTATTCAAGTATATTTAAATGATATATATATATATGCATATATTTATATATCACATACACATTTACATATATATATATACATATCACATACACATGCATACATACGTATATATATATATCACGCACACATATATATATATATACATATCATTATATATATATATGCATATCATTATATATATACACAATATTTTTACCTCCCTATATTTACATACACTGTGGTATAAATCATTTGTAGTACATATTCATGTAGTACATATTCATCATAAAATTTTTATGAATACCATACATGCACATCATTTTCAAAGTAAACTATATACCTAGAGAATTTGGACACATCGCTGTAGTTTTCGCTTGAGGTTTAGGCTTCAGTTCCCTGATCCTGACCACCTTGATCATGGGATTTTGGTGTTTTCTACTGAACTTTCAACCATTTTCTTGACGAAATGACATCACAACGATGCTAAGATCGCAACAATGCCGTTGGGATATGTCCATCAATGTTCAAAGTGACATGCTCCTTGTAATTGAGCAGTTTGCTATGGGAAATCCATGTTTGATAGGTACATAGTCTGTAAACGTGCCATTTTCCATTACATTAAATCCCTCGATGGTACACTTTTTGCTGTTTCAATTCGCCCCTCTATGTTCCCCTGATATTTTTTTACGTGACATCGTCATTTCTCTCGGCAAAATATCCGAATTCGATCCAAGGAGGGGATTGCATTTTTCACCACATCTATGCAAGAGTTTTCCCCTGTCATTTCTTGTTGGGGTATATCGAATAAATTATATATATAGAGATATATTTTTGCAGCTATAGAAAACCGTAGGGTTTACATACATCATATATGTACGCAGACACATATACAGCACATGTATATAATTATATATACAGTACATATATATATACATATATGATATATATATACATATCACATGGTTTTCCCCCAAGAAATGGGGTGAAATCCCCACCATCATCTGCTCGTCAAGCCATCGCCCTGGAAGGCAGATCTCCGTGTTCCATCGCCCTGGAAGCGCCCGGACAGCTGGAGCGTCGCGCCGACGACATGAAACGCTTAGCCACGGAGCATCTGATGCTCTGTGTGGCTGCTGGGAAGCAGCTGAAGCTGTGGTTCTGGGTGAGGAAAACCATGAAAAACCATAGGAAAACCATAGGACCATGGTGGTTTGACCATGAAACATGGTGATTTCATGGGATTTCATGAGGCTATATATGATCTTGATAGGTACAACTGCACAACCATGGGATTTTGAGCTCCATGAGTTGGGATTAGCAGGATGATTTGCTACACAGCCATATGTTGCTACTACCTTCGTTACGAATAATGAAATGAACACATCTGCTCTTGCTAACTTTGATATAAAAACTCTATGTTATTGGTACTCTAAAATCAGTTAAATCATGTGAAATCACCCTGTGTTCATCTATGTTTATGGTAAATTCCCAATTTTTCATGGTAAACTCACCCTTGCTTGTTAAAGGACTAAACTCCCCTTGGTTCACCCGAGCCGCTGAGGCATTCGTGGCATCGCTGCTCTGCCTCTGCTGCTGGATCTTCTCGGCGTCCGCACGGGAGCTCGAGCAGCCCTTGTTGGACGCTGGGCGCTGGCCATGCTGGGAGATCTTGGGATATAAGATGATGTCATAGGATTGGGGAGATTTTCTGGGAATTTCTATGGGGATTAACCATGATTAACCAACATAATGGTGATGATATGGGATCAATATGGATCAATACCCTCCGGTGATATGGATTATCTATAGATTCATGGTTCATTTCATATGAATGTTCACTAATTCGATGATTTTTTCACGTATTATGTGCCATAGTGAAACACTCGGGTGAGTTCTACTGGGGGATGGTCATGAATCCAAAACTGATGGGATGGATGACCATACCACACCATCTTCTGACCATGGCCCACGAACCTTATTTATATATGTATGTATATATATATATATATTGATTATGTCTTAATCATACGGTTTATGAATTATTGAAATATCTCTGAAAATCATGACCTCTCCCTTGCCTTTTCAGGCCCTAATACCTCCACTGTCACACACCCGGATTCTCAGAGTTATGATTGTCCCTTCCACTCCGGCGATGATGCTTATGTTACTGATGTTTTTAAAAGTGAAATCACATATACACAAATACAGCGAGAACCAAACATATATATATATATACACATACACAGTATATTTAATGATGATACCGTGCTCAGCTCTGCACAATCATCATGTTCTTAGCCGTGCGATTGTCAGGTATCGACCTGACTCTCAGACAAAGACCTGGCTGAACGATTTGGGAACAGGTCTTTGTGAACAGTGGTGTGGCTGAAGTGAACATCTACGGCCCAACAGCCGACAGGCAGTCTGGCCGAGCTCTGTCGCACGGTGAGATGAGATCAACGATCCACTCGGTGGCTTGAACTTCAACATATTTCAGTCGCATCAAACTGCTGTCGATTTCTGTGGATTTCTGTCGTATATCTTCAGGTTCTTGGATCACAAGGGCGTGGACCGTGGTCCAGTGCTTCCTCCGTGGTGGCGCAGCGCCCTGCGCAGTGTGGTCCTGTCAAAAAAGGGCGACAAAGAGAGCAGGTGAGAAATCACTGGGGAGACTTTCATGGATAGCCCAACGGTAGACCCAGAAACTGAGGAATAGAATGCAACATTGTCCAAAACTGGGGGAACCCCAAAGCCACTGGTTCATCATCATTTTCTCATATTTTCCTGACAAAATGATATTCTGGTTGGTGGTTTGTATGTGATTTTCAACTATATCTAGTGGGATGATGATCTCCAATGAGCAGCCCCAAAGTTGTAATTTTGGATGCAAACCAGCCATCAGATACTCTCTGGTAAACATAGCCATGGGGAATAGCCATGTTCAATGGGTAATGATAATGTCTACGCTTTCGTCATTTGTCCATGGCTATGAGACATTACCAGAGGGTCTAAGATGCATCTCAATAGTCTCTCCACCGTGTCTTAGCTTCTGCCAACGGAAAGATTGGGGAGCATGTTCCCAGATCTTGTACCGATTTTGAACCATCAGAATCCATAAAAACCTTGGGTATTTTACTTATTATAAACCTTTGGTCTTTGGTATTTCACTATAATATTTTACCATCTTTTACCATGGCTTTTACGGTTTTACTCATGTTTCACCCATCCAAATTGGGCCAGGCTGCCAGGCCGTGGATGTCCGCGAATCGCGAATGCTCGAAGTCGAAAAACGGCATCGGGTTGTCTGCTGGGTCGGCTGGGTGCCCCAATGGCGTTTTTTGTCTCGAAATCTATAGACATAGACAGACATGGCAAACTGTATAGGATTTTGGTCCAGATTTTGTGACATCCCGATGTGGGATATGTATTCCGGACACATCGCAAGCCTTACCCATATTTTCAGGCCATTTGTGATGGTTGTAAGGTGTGACTTGTGCCAAAGAACCACTCAGATTGCCAAAGTTTGATCCCTTGCAGCCCTTGCAGCCCTTGGATTGATGCGGGCAATGGCGGCCAAAACGACTATGAGATGTGACCACTAATTAATAGGTCAATGTATAATATATATATATATAATATTATATGAGTAACCGACAAAATTAGCGGAAGACTAAAGTAGTCGGGAGTGGACATGGGATGTTCAAACTTGTGCGAAAACATTCACAACCGATGGGGGACCATCCACTTACCGATACTCTATTTTTGCACATAGCATGGAAGTACAAACCGACAAACCTTCACAACCGATAGGGGACCACCCACTTTGGCCATGTCCATTGCGGGTAGTAAGTAATTTTCCGCCACTCATATATATATATATGTATACAATATTATACAATGCGCGTATATACATAAATACGTGTGTATTGCCTTGATGGTGTCTGAAAGTAAATACAGGAAGTTCACGTCGACCCTGTTGCCGTAGGAATTCAAGATGTTGATGGAATGTTTTTGTGCTCCTGGAGGTTGTCCTTGGATGTACAGCATGTTTCAACCGAACACACAATAGATTGACTGGTCCGTTTATTATGGGTTATGTCTTTCTTTTTGCAAGATGGTGCCCACCCAGTTATAATTTGCTTTACAACATCAAATCATAGTTGTATTTACATGGATTTACCATAAATTTCCTAAACCCTCGGCAAATTGGAGTCATGTTTGCCAACTTAGCTAACGAACTGGGACACCACCGATAGTGGCAACTGGAGGTGCACCACCTCAAGGCTAGGTATGCTGATTCGTTTTGATACGGCTGCAACCTTGCTGCGCTCAAAACTTGCAACTCAGTTGCTGGGTCATGACGGTCATGATGGTCATGAACATCAAAAAAAAGGATCTTGCAATCTTGCAATGATCAAGGAGAATGAAGATGTTTGGGTCCATGTGATCTACTGCGCTGCTTGGCTGATAGAATATCAATCATATAGTCGGATAGTGAAGAGTCCTAAAGCAACGATGCAGAGCCAAAGACCGTCTGGATGCTGTCGGTAATCCTAGCTGGGACCTCGTCGGATTGCACCATCAAACAGTCCATGGGTGTCGAGTCCATGGTTCAGGAACTGAACTAAACATCGTCACATCAGTCACCATGAGTATGGTATGTCGCCAATGCAATGGCTGCAGCTGTGGAGTTGCTGGGGTGTCCCAGATGGGGGTCCGGACAGCCTAGGCCTAGCCATCATCCAGCCATGTGCCCAACCAACACTTGGGTAGATTGCATTTAGATGTAGAGATCCATAGATGCATGCAAGTTTTTTGATAAACACGTATCTCCTTATCATTTCAGGGTTTGTGACTAAAGACGAAATGCAAGGAAGTAACCTCCATTGCTATCATTTATCATGGTGGTCAAAATGCCCAAATCATAGTACCTTAATTGTCACGCAACCCTAGTACTAGATTTTTCATAAATAGTGATAGTATGCCAAAAAATACATAAAATACTGGCCAAAAGCAATTTTCCTCTTGCAATTATACGAAATATGTGGAAAATCCACCACTGTCCTAGGCAAAAAACATAATTTTCCATCATTTTTCCTAGGAACAGCCACCATTTTTCCATCCTTTTCTTCGGCAAAAAAATCGCCATGGGTGGGTAAACCCACATCTTTCTGAATCGAGGCCGAGGCCCGTGCCAAAGTTGCAGGGAGGCGGGGATCCACATTATTGTGGCCCTATTTTGGTAACGGAATTCCATCTGTGACATTCCAACATTTTTCCCATGACATTCCCCAGAAAAAGGTTAGCAATGGTTAGTTGAATCCCACTAATCAATCGGGGCAGCCACTGATCGCAGCTGACATGGCCTTTTTCCGTGTTGTGTTGGCCAGGTCACTGGCCCACATGGCCCGCCACGACCTAAGCGCGAAATCGTTGCGACGGGGAAAAGACCACCATGTTGGGGCGATATGGGGCGATTGCCCTGCACAAAATGTAGATTTGAGTCACATGTGGATCTACGCCTCAAAAAAGCGTTTCAGCATTAAAACCTTGTTTCCCAGTAACCAACAAAAGGCAGGTTTACCATGCTTTAATTATATAATACATTCATGGACCGTGGATGTTCTAGGTATATTTCATTGTCGACCTCACTAGCCGACCTTGCCAATAATTTGCCATAAGTCTAACTGGGCATATAATATATATATATATTGTATACATATATATGGTATGTATTCAATGTACTCGGCAAATGCCTGTACACTGTATTTTTTGGTGCTTTCAACAAACTAAGCAATCGTTGTGCCTTCGCAATGCTTAAACACCCTCCGGCAAGATCATCAATTGCAATACCCGGGCATTTAATGAGGTGTCTGCGTACCATGTATGGAGCAGAGAACGTTTTTGGTGTATTTTTTGGGCAGAGAATGTTTGGCTCTCTTCCAAATGAGTCCAAATGGGTACGGTCCGAAATGTGAATCTCATACCACAGGTCACCCTTCCCGTACCCGTCTATTTGCACAACGCGCCATTTTGCTCGAATCGTTGCCTCCGCCACATTTAGATGCGGCAGATTGGGATCATGGCTTTCCCCGTCAAGAAGTTCAACAAGGATTTTGTGGGCGTGGGTATCAATCATCATCAATCCGTTTTGGTGATAAGATGAGATGTGATGAGCAGCTTCATTGGGACATCTATGAGGCCCTGAAGGGGGAAATAGTTGATGACGTGTCAATATATATATATATATACACATATTCATAAATATTATAATATTAGGTGCATGGAGCATCCATGGGGGATTCTATTTTTGAATTCTTGTTTATTCCAGAGTCCAGCGTCGTGTCCATGAACATAGTGAGGGACTCACAGAGGGCAGTTTCTTGAAGTGACGAAGTTGTTGATTTCACCATGCAAGACACAGCCACGATAAATCTGTCGTTTGGATTTGGGACAATCAAAGAGATCATACACCATAGTCAGGACTACTCAAGACTCAGGCTTTCTCTACTTACTCCACCCCAGTCCATGGCCAAATGGTGTTTTGTCAATCCTTAATACGGCTCGCTCCTATTGCCCAGACATTGCAAGAAACCGTAGAAAGGGTAGCAGGATGTAGCGGGTTTGGTCCCAAAACAGTATAAGTTGCCATGTCCCATTCATTGCAAGTGAAGTTCAGAGGGGGTGGCGGATTTGATCTTAAATCACCATGATCAATAATGGCATGATGAGCAGCATTACACGCTTTGTGATCTTGGCAACTCACTGCGTCTAGGGTACAAATAGAGGGGTTGAATGTAAAATCCAGTGTTTTATGGCAATGAATGGCAATGATAGCAGCTTCCCAATCGTTACCATGCCAAAAGGGTCTCATTTGGCACAGGCTGATCCTTCCGTGTTTGTGCGGCATGCCCGGCGTTGAAAACAATAAATCGCCAGAAGACTTGTCGCAGTAAGATACCGAAGGTAGCGAAGGTGGTTGGGGGAAGTGGATGTGTTGAGAGTTCCATGAGTTCCCAGGTTTGATTAAATCATGCCATATTGCCATATTGCCATATATCAACTACTGTATATTTCATGGGGGTCCAAGCTCCCACATGTTGTAGCATGGGTTTTGTCACGGATAGCAATACCACAGCCATCAGATGGGAAGCACGATTCGACGATGACCCTCAGAGTTTGGGGTTACAAAGCCTCGCCATTGGGGATATTGATTTTCCATGCTTCTCCCTACTGCTTTGCATGGACTTTTGTGTCGTTAGCCTTAGAATCCGCAGTTTCAGCACAGCGAGCCGAGCTAAAATTGGTCACCGGTGCTTCGGGGTAGATCCAATCCATGGACCATTGGTGATTTGAAGATGTTACAAGTATTTGTGGCATGTTCTTGGGACCGTTTCCACAAGCTTCCCATGTGTTTCCTATCGACTTCCGATACTACTGGGGGGCCCTGGGGCCCTGACTGCGCCATCCAAGCCACAGATGTTTGTCCTTTCGTTGCCATCATCCAGCTTTTGGAGTAGCGAAGTTTGACTCAGAACTTCTTGAGTCCTTCCTACTGCTAATAATTGGTAATCTATGGAAATCGGGGTTTGTGGATGGAGAAACAAAGATGGAATAATCATGAACCAATGCCCCAAACTAGGGCCAGGGAAGTTACGGAGTTTCCACTTGAGATATCAGGTATTCAATTCATGGCATTGCAGTATATATTTCAATGATGGGAATCTCCTTCCAGAGATCAGCTATCAATGAGGACCCTGAGGACCCCTGAACATTTACAGCAACTGAGGCGTTCTTGGAGCCAGTGGCGCAAGGCGAACCTCAGGCACTGTTTGCTGCATTTGCAAGGGATTAGGCGGGTAAGACTAAACGCATACCATACCCTTTAGTCACAATGTGATTTCACTGTGGATATACAGCAAATGGCACATGGCACAGTCATTCCCACAATGATGTTCTCTGTTGGATATTGAAAGCACATCATTTGCACATCAACCTCATGGGAAGCTACTTAGGGAATACAAATCCTTGACATTTTGGTTTAGAAAATTGTTTGCCAAACTCTGGCCCTGGTCGTTATGTAGCGAGGGCTCAAAAGTATATGCCCCAAAATTCCCCTAAATGATCAAACAGGGAACTTGTGTCAAATTAGGTTTAAGTCAAGATGCAGGGATGCTTGCTGTCTAAAACATCGCCCGAACGACCAGAACTTTAAGTGTCCACAAAGGATATAGCGACCTCATAGGGCTTAACTGCGGTTCATTATGAATTATGACTCGTCATTTTATTTTTAAACAATAAGTCATAAGCCGAATTCATGAAAAGCAAATGTTGTCCAATCTTTGTATAGTTGTCCAAGGCAATTTATTAGAACATGATTCTAGATCAAGTTTCTATCGCCAAGCGTTCAAGTCCATTTCTCCATCAGGGCACCTCCGAAAAGCTTGAGACCAGTCCGGTCCTGAGGGGGTTGAAATCCACCCCCAGGCTTCGATCAACGAAATGGACGAATGGACGAATGTGGGTCCGTTGGTTTCCAATGGTTTCCAAGTTGACTTGACTCCTATCGTACATATATACACGTACTGTATATGATGTACCGTATATGTATATATGTATATATGTATATATGTATATATGTATATATGTATATATGTATATATGTATATATGTATATATGTATATATGTATATATGTGTATGTATGTATATATGTATATGTGTATATATGTATGTATATGTATATAGGTATATATGTATATATATATGTATATATGTATATATGTATATATGTATATATGTATATATGTATATATGTATATATGTATATATGTATATATGTATATATGTATATATGCATATGCATGTACATATATATATATATCCATATATATATGTACAAGAAACAGCCACAAAAAAAGATAGAAAGATTGGAACACTTGAACATATAGGAGAAGCATCATCGAACTACCTGGAAACATGTTTTGGATCTACTTTGGGGTTGCTATATAGGACCAGAAAGTTATATCATTTTGGATGGTATTACTCTCGATATATGTATATATGTACACACACACATATATATATATACATGAAATCCGTATCCGTGATGTTACTACTATGTGTATATGTATATATATATGTATATATATATGGATGAATTATTATGACTTCACGTCGTGATGTCGCTGGAATGATGGTGAATGAATAAGGGAATCATCCCCAAATGGCTATATGACAACAGCTATTTTCAGGTTAGTGAGTTTTTATAATTCAGAAGACTTCAGCCAGATACATATAGTGTATGGGGATTTCCTACTATGGAGGATCAACTATGGGTTTCAATACTAAGTCATGGTCTAATGACTGGATGATTTGGGGTACCCCTATGACTTAGGAAACCTCCAGATATGTTTGTTGGTTCATAAACCCATTAACTATAGAATACTATAGTTAATATCTACCAAAAAACAGAGTTATTTCTATATTCATTTTCACTATGAATAGAAACACCCATAATACCCACATGGTGAGTAATACCCATATTTCTATACCTATATATACCTATATATCTATATTCTTATTTCTTTCTACAGAATACCCATTTCACCTGCTTAGACTTCAGAGATTCATGAACTGCTCAGATCGGCTGCTTGCCTCCGCGCAAGCGGAAGCCGACGGCCTCTTCCGGCAGATCAGGCGCGGCCGTGAAGCGCCTGGACCGGAGGATTTCACCAACAAATTTCCACATTTTACATGTAAACCGATGTGCGTCTTTATTTAAGCAGCTAGTTCATGGAGGGGCATTCATGGTTTCTGGATGAATCATATGTAACTTTCCGACCTGCACCAAAAATGCATCAAACATTCAGCTTGATCTCTCACCAGCAAACTCAGTCAATAGTGAAGCTGAAAATAATATATATATATTATAGGTCAGTACTGAACATGTGATGGTCTGATGTGGACTTTTTTCTGCCTTCATTCATGAACGAGGTTGATTGCCTTCTTTGGGATCAAGGAGGGTTGGAAGATGTTGGAAGGTCGGAAAGGTGATGGGCAGATTACGAAACGGTGTAAATTTCGAAGATGAACTGATTTCAGCTGTCCGAGCTGCGTTTGGGGATGGAGTAATCCAGTGCATAATTTTCCACCTAATGATATATGTATAGACTTCCTACAGTGTAGCTGGTCATGTGGGATTCTATGGCATTCTATGGGTGTTGAGAGTGCTTGGGCCTAGTGGGTCTAGTTTTCTCGTGGCACCCGACTCATGGCGCCTGGGTGGCTGGGTTCGTTGCTGAATTGGCCCTTCCGATGTATTGGTCAGCGCAGTTTGCCGGAGACTCACGGTGTCTTTGAGGCGGAGCCAGGTGTCTTCCACTTTTAAAGGATTTTTTGTGGACGTCAACTGGGGCAATGGTTAAAATCCATTCGATGCCCGAAATTTGTTTTCACCACAGACCATTGTGCCATACTTTCCCACCTTGATGTCGATTTGTGTGGTTTTCATCTTACAAGTGGAAATCGATTCATAGCCCGCGCGAATCAGTTCACCCAAGTACTGTACATCTGCCTATGTGGGCTTAGTTTTCCTCAGTGAGGCCGTGTCCGGCTGAAAATGGAGTCGTGCAAATAGTAACAAAATAGCAACAGTGATTCATAATAAACATGTACCTTAGAATCCTTGGAACCTATCCACAAAAAGAGTTCCCTTTTCTGGAAACCTATGGAACCGTCACAGAAATAAAATCTGTTGATGGGTTAAATCATGACACCTGCCATATTTCAGAGAAAAGACATGGAATTTCATCATGACCACATATACATATTTAAATTAACACCAGTATGCAGACACATTTACAGCATCTACATGACATATATTAATAGATAGATAGATAGATAGATAGATAGATATATATATATATATATATGAGCAGTGTTCTAAACCCCTCTTGGTTGATGACCAGTTCAGGAAATATACCACCCAATATCTTCGAGATTACAATAATACAGTATCGGAATGCCTATTCACCAATCATATATCCAATCCGGTAATCAAACATAGCAATTCAAAATCCACCATATAGAAAGTATGGTTGATTTTCCCATTAACAAATTATATATATAATATATATATAATATATATATATAAATATATATTATTTACACATTCTTATGCCTTAGATATATCCAGAGGCGGAGTTGCAGCGGCCCACGGAAGCGGAGCTCCTGCGAGACGAGTGGCGTGGACGGAGGGATTTCCATGGGGATCCCGTGGTGAAAATTTGATGCATCCATCGTGGTTTTCCAATGGATGCTTGGGATTGCTTGGGATTAACCCGTTTCTTTTTTTTGCTTATCTAAGTTTAACCCATTTCCACTGTGAAGTTTTGTTTGGCTGTCAGGGTTTCATTTCTTGATACCCTTTTGTGTTGGTTTTGGATGGTTGCATCAACACTCTTGTTGCTGATGTTTGGCAGACGGTGTTCTGCTTTTCTTGGGCGTGTTAGATCATGCAGTCACCTATCATATGAATCATTAGCAACCGACTCTACAAACCGCCACTGGGACTGTTGCAGATGATTTCAGGGATTATTGGGGGTTCACGGGGGTCATGTTGTTGGGTATACTTGGGGGTGCGATTCCAATTTTGTTATAGCCATGAAAATAACCCCAACTATGGTTCTTCCGTTCATCCCCACTATTTTTTCATCCACATTATTTTTTCATTCAAACCCAATCAGATTCCCAATCTGTTAATTTCTCATGATATCCTCAATTTTCAACCCCAACTGGAAATAGTTTCCCTATGATGATCCCATTGAACATCGATGAGTTTCCCATCATCCCAAGGTTTGGAGTGCCACACATCTTCGCAGCAACGGAGCACGTGGGGAATGGTTGCAGGATCATAGGGATGCAACCGCTATACGTAGGCTTATAGAGTGAATATGGGAATAGAACAAGGAAACATGGGGATCAAACAAAACAATGTATATATATGTATATAATTACATACTAGTAAGTATATATATATACACAGATACAGAGATATTACGTACATATAACATAGTATAAATATAAGCTTCAATTTGTTTGTGTCACCATTTTGCCTTGGAAATTAGGGATTCCCCAATGCAGACGGGGACGAATCTCGTGGCCCTGCAACTGGACCCCCATGTTCGGCGGGAAGTGATAGTCATGACCCTTTGATATTAATATTATATACACAAATATGTATATGTATGTATATACTGTATATGTATATACATCTCGTTGCATGCCTATATGAACAATTTTTCTCTAAAGATATATACTATATGTGTGTTTTGTCTTTCTATATTTATATACACACGATGTGTATGACTCTCTGAAGGGACCCATTCCCTTGTCGTTCAGGAGCATGATTTGTTCTTCTTGAACGGTGTGGTGCACGCTCAGGCCCTGGGTTAAACGAAACTGAATCAATGCCGCTTTGATATGAGATGAAATGCGATCATGTCGCAGGACACAATATACATAGATACAGTAAATGACTATGAGTTGAAAACCCATAAGCACAGTCAAGCACAGTCAAGCACAGTCAAGCACAGCGCCGCGTTGTAAAATACCTTTAAGGGGTGCTGCGTGTCTACACGCAATAAGGTAACCGCTGAAGGATTCAAGATTTTAGGGCCAGGGATCATCCGGTCCTGGCGCAGCCAAGCTTTTGATCTGTGACGGTTGATTTGGTTCAATGGTTTTGTTCATCTATGACAGTTGATAAGTTTTGTTTATGTCAGTTTTTATAAAACTTGAAGGTATCACCGTTGGGCGGCTGGTTGTTTTCATCTATATATACATACATATATATATACACATACATAAGCATATATATATATACATACATATACATATATATATACACAACACCCTTTGAAGGGATGATCAATGATGATCGCTGGGCGCAGGACAGATTATGGCAGATGCACTCTGGTCGTCCCTGGGATGCTGTTCTGAGCTGCATGTTTTGGTGGTGAAAATACGCCACCAATCAGATAGATCACATGTTTTTGTCACATTCTATACTTCCAGAAGTCTGCATTACCCAGTGATTCTTAGCTGTTGTCCTCATTTTGTCTTAATTTGAAATATTATCCCCAGTCTTGTTTGATAAACATCCCCATGTTTGTTGATTTGTTGCCCCGGTACTATTTGTGCTACTACATTTCATCATTACTATCTTTCTTGGTATCTTGTATTATATATAGTAATCCTAGTTTTAACAACAATAGCAATGACAAACAAGCATCATGCTTATATACATTCGTCAAAACAGCAACAACCACAACAACAAAACCACAAACCACAAAACCATAAGCACAATTATAAACAACCTTACGGTCTCTCTGTTTGTGACTTTGGTTTTGTGGTTTATAATTAACCTGTTCCCTGGCATTTCCGGGTTCCCAGCGTGCTCCATTGCGTTACCAAGGCATGTTGGCCTCGGGCCGGCTGTGCGAAATGGTCGGCAGCAAAGCACTGGACCTGGATCGTTTCCTTCGACAGCTGGGCTTGCGACAACTGGCAGAGGAAGATGCACAACATCTCAGGGCCCCTTGGAAGATGGGTGAGTTGCTATCTGATTATTCAATAATATTTAATATTCAATATATAGCTATGGAAAATCAACATTTTTCATAGGTAAATCATTTGTAGATGATTTATCATGATTTACCGATTTACCTATTAAAAATGGTGATGTTCGATAGTTATATTGAATAATCAGATGGTTTCTACCGGGAATAACCGGGAATCAAACGTGGCGGGCTGGGAAATCCCTTTTGAAGAGAGGTTTATATAGCTGGGGAAATTATCGAAATAAATGATGTATTTTTGAGCTGGCCATGTATGATTGGCGGAGGGTAATGGGGATGTCACCACCATTTTAAGGGTTTTAAAGCATCAAAATTATGTGATATGATATGATAAATGGCAATTGGGAACCTGGTAGGACTAGGATCCAGTGATCCGGGAATTACATCAAGTTTTGGGGATGACAAAACAAACAGTTTATGGTAATAGAATTGATGCCCCTTGGAAGTTGGTTTCGTTCAGTGATCGAAGGAAGTTTAGAAGTCAAACTTCCGACTTACGGAAAATGTAGCAACAGTGTGGAGAGCAGTCAGAGAACAGAAAGACTCAGAAGAGAAAGAGTCAGCAGAAAGAAGATCATGGTGAACGAAAAGGTAGAAAAGTCCAGAAACACAGTGCTTTTTCCATGTTTTGTGGCTCCGGAAGTAGGCTTGCTAAAGCGGCGGGTCAAAATCACCGTAGGTTCGGAGCATTTTTGGATGTTGAGAAGGAAGAGAGAGAGAGAGAGAAAGAGAGAGAATGAGAGAGAGAGAGAGGGCAGAGAGAGGGCAGAGAGAGCGCAGAGAGAGCGCAGAGAGAGAGAGAGAGAGAGGGCAGAGAGAGGGCAGAGAGAGCGCAGAGAGAGCGCAGAGAGAGCGCAGAGAGAGCGCAGAGAGAGCGCAGAGAGAGCGCAGAGAGAGCGCAGAGAGAGCGCAGAGAGAGCGCAGAGAGA